CTGTTGATTTGAATCTTTGTTCATGGTTGTGAGGATTTGGATGCAGGGCCTTACACATACATGCCAGGCATGTGCTGTAGTATTAAACTGTATCTTCAGACCCTGGGGTCTTTTAAAATAGTTTTTTATTTACTTGTAGAAACTGTATACATTTATGCAATATATTTTTATCATTACCTTCTTTCAACTCTTCCCACTACCCTCAACACCATCTCTCAACTTCATGCCTTCTTTAAAAAAGAAAATGTTATTAATAACTTTGAAGTCAAGTAGTTCTGCCCATACATGTGCATGACATGGGTGTGGTGGCAACCTACCAGTGGTCATGTTAAACAGTGACTTTCTGCCTTAGCAGCTATCAATTGCCTACCAACTCCTCTAGGGGTGGGGCCCTGCCCCTTTCCATCCATGCTGGAATCTTGACTTTTTGATCTTGTGCTAACTATAGCTGCTGCAGGTTGCTATGTGCAGCAGCTATGTCTTATCCAGAATCCAGCATTTCACAGCTGCCTTCCCCATTCTCTGGCTCCACCCCCTCTTCCTTGATATTCCTTGAGTGTTGGATTGAGGGATGACCTATCTGCAGCTGCGTATTCACTGTTACTTATATTCAGAACTTTGACCAGTTGTGAATCTCTACATTAACCATTATCCAATGAAATAATAAGCTTCTCTGACCAAACTTGAGGGCAGCACATATTATGTGTATAAACATTAGAACTTAAAGGACAGTTTGATAGCAAGACCTTTAAGCAGAACAGTAGTAGGTTCCCTGTTGTTTTGCACTTCGCACAGTGGCTTCACCTTAAGCAACTGCTTTTCCAACCAGCAATTGCAACTTTGCAGGTACTAGCAGTGGCATGGCTTCAGCCAGACAAAATTCTGTTCCCTCAGGCACAGGCTGAGTGCTAAAGGAAACTTTAAATCTGTATCATTCTATAGAACTCAATTTAAAGGTTGAGGTGAAGTACTTCTAGCTCAGAGAGGCTGAATAGCAAGTAGTTAACCTTTTCTCTTTGTTCGTGTCACCAGGAAAAAGGGGGCATCCTTCTGCTCAGCCCTCACTGAAGAACCCTTGCTACACATGGTTCCTTCTTACAACTTCTATCAGTTAGTTGCTGACTCAGCTTCCTGACCCCAAGTTAATTTTATTCAATCAAACAAATGTAAGACATCTTTGCACTGTTAACAAAAGCAGCAGAAACAAAAACATGCCTTTACCCAGTTGAAGTAATATTTCACAGCAGTTCCTCCTTAGGCCTATGATCCAGGCACAGATTATTTTTACAGTGCCAGGCATGAAATCCTTCTCTTATAGCAGGCCGTATATCCAATTAGAAAGCAGTTGGTTACTCTCATAACTGTAATGCCACTATTGCACCAGGTAGGTTAGTGTTGTAGCGCTACTGTGCCTGCACTATTACAGAAAAGGAAGGAAGGAAGTTGGTTTGGAAATTATATAATGTAGAAATCAACAATTTACACATAAATAATGGATCAAGGAAAAGTAAAGCAAACTTAAAGGCTCTTGAAATAAAAATGTAATTATAGCATAAACAAACTCTGGACTAGGACAAAAGCACTCTTACAGCAAAGTTTACAACATTGAAAGCAAAATGCACCTTTCCAGGCGGGTCAGTCTTGTAGCACTCAGGGTCAGTTGTTGGTTAAGGCCATTGGAGACTTTTCTCTCCAGCAGCCTACAGAGCACCTTTTGGCACAATGTGAGCTAGATTGTAGGGAGTGTCACCTAGTCTGTTTGAGGTTGATTTTTATGTGTCTTGCAGCCAGAGTGTGTGGTGTCTTCAACAGTAGGGTCTTACCATCTAGGATTGGTGGTATCTCTTGGCTTCTTGAGGCAGAATCTTATTTTGTAGCTCTGGCTGGCTAGCTCTGAACTCTGTATAGCCCAGGCAGGCCTCAAATTTGTATTTCTCTTGTCTCTACTTCCTGAACACGAGGGTTACAGATGTGAACCACCACGTTTGGCTTTTGCTGCTGGGTCTTTTTTTTTTTTTTTGTGGGGGGGCGGGGGTGGGGGCAGGTTCAGAGTCTTACATGTGCTGGGCAAGTGCTCTGCCAGAGTTTACACCCCGGGTTTCTGCCTTTTTCATGTAGGTGATTGTTACAGACTTGTTATAGTGGGCTTGTCCTAGTCTACAGATTTTGGTTGTATTTACATTTTTGTTTCAAGAGCTTTGAAATTTCCTTGTTTTAACTTGATCCAGTATTTATGTATTAATTATTGATGTCTACATTGTTTAGTTTCCAAACCTACTTTTTTTTTTTTCTTCATGTACTGTGGGCAGAAAAAACCCAGCTCAAATTGATTAATTCTAAAGGTTTTGTTGAAAGTTTTGTTGTGGCCTATCATAATGTATCCAAGAGAGTGTTAAGAAAGATGGTTATTCTGCAATGTTTGAATGAAATGCTGTATAGATTTCTTTTAGTTTCTCTGTAGTTTAAGATGTGGTTTATCTGCTTTTCCTTTGATTTTTGTGTGGATGATCTTTTTGTCTGCTGCTGAAAGTGAAATGTTAAACCCCCGCTCTTACTGTTTGTCTGACTTAAAGTCTCTATTGCTGCAGTGAAATACCATGACCAAAAAGCAAAGCTGGGGAGGAAAGGATTGACTTACTTTTTCCTATCACTGTTCATCATCCATGGAAGTCAGGACAGGAACTCAAGAAGGGCAGGGACCTGGAGGCAGGAGCAGATGAAAAAGCTGTGGAGGAGTGCTGCTTACTGATTTGCTCCCCATAGTTTGCTCAGCCTGCTTTGTTATTGGAACCCAGGGCCACCAGCCCAGGGATAGCACCACCCACAGTGGGCTGGTCTGTCTCTTAATAAATCGCTAATTCAGAAAATGACTTGCCTACAGCCCCATTTTATGGAAGCATTTTCTTAATTGAGGTTCCCTTTTCTCAGATGACTTTAGCGTGTGTCAAGTTGACATAATATTGAATATTTTCTACTGAAAATAGAAATTGAATCTATTGAATATTTGGGTGAATCTCTAGCCCTGGATTTCTTGACCGTTATCCTACTATGTGCTCCACTGTTCTTCAGCTTGTCATGTAGCTCAGGCTTGCCTCAAACTCCTTGCCTTTTTTTACTACTTTGGATTTAAAGCCTGTTTTATCTGATATAAGTAGGGTGATTACTGCTTTCTTAGATTTCCGTTTTCATGGATCATCTTATTCCATCCCTATACTTTGAGTCTCTGTGTGTATCATTAGAGATGAAGTTTGTTTCTTGTAAGCAATATATAGTTGGGGCTTATCTTTTTTTTTTTTTTAAATTATAGTGTGCTTGGCCAAGTCTGTCTTTTTTTTAATCAAAATTTTGGAAGATTTTACTATATTATGTATATAGTGTTATGCCTGCATCTCAGAAGACGGCCCCAGATCCCATTATAGATGTTTGTGAGCCACCATGTGGTTGCTGGGAATTGAACTAAGAGCCTCTGGAAGAGCAGCCAGTGCTCTTAATCTCCGAGCCTTCTCTCTAGCCCAAGTCTGTCTTTTAATTAGAGAATTTAGTCAATTTACCTGATCTTAAAGTTACTTTTAACAATGTCATTTAAATTTTTGTAATAAAAATTTAAAGCACAGTTTTTGTTTTACTTCTTTCAAAAGTCCATTTAAGCGTAGTCATTTGAGTTCATACAGAAAATGCATGCCAGGAAACTTACATAAACATTTATTTTTGTGTTGTATCAGTAATTGCCATTATTTTCTTTTCAAAAGTTGATTTTTTAAGTTTTCTACGCTGTCTGATGCTTTCTGAGTAATGCAGACAAGTCAAGTCCTGTGTCGTGTTTATTCTAACCATTTCTGTTGAGGCTATATTATAGCTTATGTTTTATTTGCAGTTAATTTATTCAAGCTAAGTAAACGCTTTTCAGAATGGAAAAGTAAAGGGTGAGGGACTGGGAAGATGGCTGAGTCAGTAAAGTGCATGTTGTTCAAGCCTGTGGACTTGTGTTTGATCCCTAGTAGCTACATTTAAACAAGCAACAAGCTGGTGTGGTGGTATACCTATAATCACAGTACTGTGGAGGCAGATAAAGGAAGATCCCTGGAGCTTTCTGGTTAGATATTCTAGGTGAATCAATAAGCTCCAGGGCCAGTAAAAGACCCTCTTCTTCTTATTTTTTTTTTAAAGACTTTATTTATTTATTATGTATACAACATTCTGCTTCCATGTATATCTGCACACCAGAAGAGGGCACCACATCTCATTACGGATGGTTGTGAGCCACCATGTGGTTTCTGGGAATTGAACTCAGGGCCTCTGGAAGAGCAGTCTGTGCTCTTAACCTCTGAGCCATCTCTCCAGCCCAAAAGACCCTGTTCTAAAAAAAATAAGGTGGTGAGCAATTGAGGAAGACATCCTTACCTGGACATATGGCTTCCACATGCATGTGTGTATAGACACACATTCTTCTTCGTTTCTTTAAATAATGTTGATGACAGTAATGTTGTGACATTTGTAATGTCAGATTAATTTCAAAGAATCATATGCTATACATGGTGTAAAAAAAATCCATATATATTTTGGCTATTTCTGATTTGTGTCATTTGTTAACTTTTTTCCTTTCATTTTTAGGTAAATGGATAGTGTGCTGGCCACACAGCAATGCAAGCTGCTAGTCAAAATGGACATGTTGATATTTTGAAGTTGCTTTTGAAGCAAAATGTAGATGTAGAGGCAGAGGTAT